TTTCATTGCCGTGATGATGGAGGCAGCAGGTACCTCTGAAACGCTAAAATAATTCTGCCAGACTACACCCCACATATGTCAAGTGTAATGTCGGTAACTGGGACGCTTACTTTACACCGGTATTGAATCACTTAAAAGAAGTGCAGAGATTCTACACACAGCTTTACAATAGCCAAAATAATTACAGTGAAATCTGTTAACCATTGTCAGAAACGAGTAGAGAATTACAAGACTATAATATAAACTGATTTCTTACTTTGTTCTTCTTCTTTGACCTTTGTTTTCTGGCCTTTGTCATCACTACATTCGTCTTCTTTGATGTTCTTGTTTTCTTGTCTTGCTTTCTTCTGGATTTTCTTCATTTTCGCTCTTTGATTTTGGAACCAGACCTGGCAAATATCGGAAAGGACAAGTAAATAAATAGTTAGATGTCAACCCTCTGTTGTAATTTCTATGTCTGTCAACGTGTGTGCACTGTATTCAATACATACCGTTCAACATACCGAATGTAACCAAAAAATCCAATTAAAAAGGCAAGTCATGGATATTTATCGGCATTCGATAATCCACTGTTAAATCTGCGGTTAAGCCGCCTGTGACAGTTGCAACATATTATGCTGCGTCTTTACGAACTCTCGGCAATTCGTAAGACATAAACTTTAATACATTTGTTCTTCATTTCACTGCCATATTCATGCTTATGTTTAGAGGAGCTCGTCTTTATAAATAATGTATTACGGATTATCACTTTTGAGAAAAAGAAAACAGAAATACATGTAATCTTCCAGCATTAGAGAAATGCTAAGATTTGGTGTCTGGTTTTGTAATCGTTAGTCTGTATCAGACAGCTTCATAATTTTCGAATTAGCTACATTAGTCTTATAAATTCGGATAAGTGAACATGGATGCTTATTCTGCGTAGAAATTATATTTTATTTACCTCCATTCTTTATAATCTACACATAGCTTTGCTCTCACTACCTCAAAATTATTTTTGTTTAGGACACATATTTTACATTGTCACAATTGTTTTACATTAAAAAATTATAGTAATTGTTAAAAGAAGATAGTCCTGTGTATATATATATATATTGAACAGTTGAGAACGATAGCTTAAATTACGTCAGAGTTTTACAAAAGCTGCAGAGTCAGAATAATAATATAAGACAAACGATATGTTAATAAAAAGATGATTGAATCACTGTAGATTGTTTTAGTTTAATTTAAAGCTGGTCTGTATACAAGAATTATGCAAAACTAAATATTTCATAACATTATTTTACCCTGTTCTATCCTTTTTAAAGTTTCTTCAGGACAACATTTTCCGTATTCACCAGTTTCCACCCTATTGCTTTCTAATTAATTCATGGAAGTTCTAATGTTGCGAATGTAACAATTTTCATATGAATGCGGAAAAAGTAACCTACATAAAAATCAAATATCACTTTCCTACAGGAAGGAATTTGGGATTTTTTTATCCGTCATTTTTAAAATGGGTAGTCTATATGCATCACTGGCAAAGTATTTGTCTCTGCGTGTATCTGTGTCAAATTATCTTCTGATACCTGAACTTTCTAGACTCAAAATATATAATTTACATCAGATTATAAAAGGTATATCCAGACATATTAATTTTGTGTTTTGAAGTATGAAAGAATATTAATTACAGTGAATACTGGTAAGTAATTAGATAAACTTGCTTGAAAGAAGACAACTTGCCGAATAAACAGACTTCATTTTGAATAATGTAGCCTGTTGCATCTTCTAAGTATCTTAAAAATATGTGTACTTAATTTAATTTCGTGCTAGATTTATAAATAGTATTCTATTACACGTATTGTAGATTGATATTAAATACTCACAGTTTAAAATACTGCTACCTCGTAAGTTACAGTCTAACGAATTATAAGAGCCAAATTTATAGCACCAATTCAAATATTTGTCTATCCGTTGTGAAGCGACCTTTGATTTGTATGAATCAAATCAGTCAGTCAGAATTTTCATTAGAATTTAAGCGTGAACCACAATTTAATATAGAACCCATTCCACTTTGACCTGCTGTCCTTCCGAGGAACCGGTGTGTGCAATATTGGTTCACGGAATGTTTGATCAAGCTGCAGTAAGCAATGGACCACCGCGGAGGTTGTATGATGTGACCCACGTATATCCTCCGGCTGTCTCCAGAACATTCCCTCGCTCGGTGTGCAGTACACTCAGTTTCACGTATACAAGTTACCCTACGCACTTAATGTACAGGGGTAGAGACTTTCTAGTTTTGGGATTCGTCGTTTATGAGAATGTACCATATTAAACGTGTGCTCACTCTGAAGATTGCAGTCTTCTGGGTTACTGCGCCGTGTAGTCTGGTAGACGTTCATCGACGTTTCAGATGTCTTTGCTGCCTCCTTTATCAGGGCGAGGGCAATCGCCCTTGTGATGGAGGCAGCAAGGACCTCTGAAACGTCTGTGAACGTCTACCAGACTACACGGCGCAACAACCCAGAACACAGAAATCTTCAGACTCACCGTCGTAAAAACCTCAAATGACACACAGATAGTTCGTGTTACATACGGTTAGGAGAATCTTTTAATTATTTTTGCGTGAGTAACGTATCGGCGGACGGAGGTTGTCACACAACATCACGAGCATACCACCCTTTCCATGTGTCGTTCCGATAGTCGATAAGCCTGGCAGCACGTCAGCGCACACCAGATACAGTCGGCAGCAAGCAAGCACACATACCACAGAAGCTAGTGCCGCAGGCCCTCATGCGAAATGTCATTGTACGGGAAAAATCCACGAGATGTACTGCGATAAGTTTTATTGGAACCAACTACCAGGTACGCAAGGGCCCCACGTCGAAATAATCAAATGATGTCTACAACTTCTGTATGTAAATAGAACAGATGATGATGATGTTCTTCTGGGTTTTTGCGCCGTGTAGACTCGCAGTAGATTCCAACGTTTCGGAGAAACATACTGTCTTCATCATCAGGGCTGAAGTGTTGATGTTGGAATGAGGAAGAATTTATATATGGTTAGACAAGGGAAAGGCTGAGGGAGTGTTCACTCCTACATCTACCGGAGAGGCTACATGACGTCAAACACCCAGAAGAACGCCATCCTCACCGCTGTAACAACCCTAGAGCTCATACTTAACACATATTAAATATTACAGGTAGCTTTAATTGTAATTCTGAACGTTTTACATTAAAATATTTTGGTGAACGCTATTGAAAAACAATAAGTTGGAGGGTGTTCAGCCTTATCTGCGTTTTCCTTTGTAGACATGTCGACTGACATAAAATTAGAATATAAATATGGAGACTAACTCGATCATTAAAATTAAGTAGAACTGTGGACTGCAACACCTCGATATTAAGCTGACAATGACTTATGGAAAAATAACTCAGGTCTTTGAAGCTGAATCTCCTCTAAATAATATATAAGAATGTATAAGAATTCAGTCCGTACCACAAAGAAAACACTACACTATTACAAAGGCCAACTGGTTAATGCTGTTTAAGGAAATCATGTCTGTTTTCACTTAGAATCGTAGGACACCCTTGAATACTTTCAGTTATTAAGATTCATAGTTACTATATACTATATTTTAAACAATTAATGTTGTTGTTGTTGACAATGTGTTGAAATCTAATCTGAATTTTTTCTCAATTGTTGCTTGGACTTTTGGACACAAATATCAGTTTATTAAATAAATGGGTGTCTTCTGCGTTATCGCGTCGGATGGTCTGGTAGAAGTTTACCGAGGTTTCAGAGGTGATTGCTACCTCCATCGTCAGGTCCATGGCTTAGAAAACAGCTATCTTCAACATTAAATTTTGTTGTATCGGAATATGAGTTAGGACTGATGATGAATCTTAAATAAGAATCTGTGATGAGATGCTCCTAATTTTAAGCGTACAACGTGAGTATTGAATACCCCACCAAAAACACTCAGTTTCTAGAGTTGAAGTACATCCCTTGGACATACATAGGTAATAAGGTAAATGGCTGACCTCGGTTACTAAGTAGAAACAGTTTTGTGGCTCCTGCGAATATGCAATTTCGTGTTGTCATTTGGAAACAAGCCCTTCCCTGTTCTGTACGATTCGCAGGAAAACAAGCAATGCAGAGTCTGTGTGGATGTGGGTGTTTGTATGCTGTGTATACAAGCTGCAAAACATGTTTGAATCACCAACTGCCTGCAATCAATTTAGGTAAACATCCAACATGAACCACCCCCCCCCCCACCAACTGGTTTTGGTCTATTCAGTGTTGATACGCTTCAATAGATCTCACTAAAACCTGATGAATTTGCCGGATTGGTTGTTGCGATCATGATGTCGGATCAGCTTGGTGGTCTTTGTAGTGCACTCTTGCATAGGTTTAGCACGCGATGACCCAACCTGATCATGTAGTTGTGTTTATTAGGAGCACCTCCACCCCATATCCCAGTTTATTTACCGCAGGGATGTAAAGTTTATGTTACCCTAATTCAACAGATCTCCCTCCTAACTTCAATTGCTTTGTTCGATTCATTTGTCAATGCGTGTTGAAACGTTAGTTGTTCTCAGTTAATGAGGGGGTGGTTATGGCTTAATTCGGGTTTTGAGTTTGTTTTGAGGTTCCGAATTTCTTATGCACTTGGATAACGACCCTGTCCTGTGGCAGACTGAGATAAGTGAGTTACATAACAAATAGTTTTTTCAAGTTTTTTTACGAACGTGCTACCAGCAGCAAGAATATTTTCTCGGATTGTCAGCCGTGTCATTTGATTAAAAACCACCGACGTTTCAGGGAGACGGTCCGAGAAAATGTTAATAATGTTAGTCGCAGTGAAAGTATTAGAGCATACAGTATTATTAAGACATCTCAAAAACACTTAAATTTACATATACGAGATAGAGCATAGAATATTCTAATGAGAAACGAAAGCTGTATTACTCGTATTGCATTTTTGTATTTCAGTACAGATATCTTCGGAATTAAAAATATTTATTTATTTATTTATTATTAACTGCAAGATGGTTTATACCCGGTGGCAGTGGTGCTACAATAAACACAACAAAACAATAAGACACAACAAAACAATAAGACACAACAAAACAATAAGACACAACAAAACAATAAGACACAACAAAACAATAAGACACAACAAAACAATAAGACACAACAAAACAATAAGACACAACAAAACAATAAGACACAACAAAACAATAAGACACAACAAAACAATAAGACACAACAAAACAACACGCATCACACAAAATAACACACCAAACTCAAAATAAAACAACTCATAAGATTACAAAACCATAGGGCACAAGTATTTAAACACAACAGATATCCTAAAGTAGATAACTTAAAAATTAATACCAACTAGACATAAGACAGTAACAATAATGAATTACATACGTCATCAACTGATGCATTACTTTACTTATTTTACATTACATACAATTACTTTTATAGCTATAGGTAAGGGGACACATCTTGAAGATGTTACGTACGAAGATAGACTGCATTAATTTGGATCAGGTTACGGCATAGTGGCTAGCTCTTGGGACTATGGTAACAAGCCACCGGGTTCCATAAAAGACAAGGAATTTCTCGACTATCTGAGCGACTATCAGTTCATTAATAAGGATTCTGCTCAACAAAGTTAAAAAAATTATGAAAGTAGTCATAACATACATTCCGCTAAAGATAAATTCTCATCGAAAAGCTTCGAATTGGAACGTAGGGCAGAGCACTGGCGACTAAAATTGGCACTGAGGCAGGTTTTTCCCCTGAGTCAATATTCCAGCAATATACCCTCCCCCAGGGTGTGCTTTAGGCCCCATCAGTCAGCAAGTCAGCAAGTCCCCAATCAGTACTTTATCTGTGAAGTAAAACTAGGATGAACTGACTGTTAAAGTGATTCTTCGAATTAAAAAAATTATGTAGAATCGTTGACTACCCATATACACTGATGAACATTTCTTTGTCCACTTAAAAAGCGTAATAAGTTTATCTGCAGTTCTTTATTATCTATTATGATCCCTGAATCGATATTTTTACAAATGTGACACTAACCTCTATGTTATTTTAGAATAAATTTACTCATGCGAAGGAACGTGTAGAACCTGTGTTCTAACACAAAATTGAAAAGTCACATATTTATATATTTCTTCGCAGTACAACCAATAGGTTTCCGATCTCAGGATTCTTGGACAAATTTTGTGTTTCGCGGAAGATGACGGTTGTTGTATGGCCGATCTAAAGTAATCCACGGAGTTAAGTAGGCTACCAGAAGTTTACCTGCACGATCCGAACGCTGAGGCCAGTCTCCTTGGCCAGAGCTTCCCTCACTTTCCGACAGGGCTTCGGGCTTATTTCGAACGAGGCCTTGAAGGCACGGCGTTGCTGTGTCGTCAGGATAGTTCGCGGCCTTTTCGGACCTCGCCGACCGTCCTGAGCTCTGGCGGCCGGCACCAGATCGTCACACGTATATTCGCCTACAACATTCAAGGGAAACAGACGACGTAATCAATAAATTCATTTATGACGACGTTCGATAATTAAAGCAATTCGTGTTGGACCATAAGTAATTATGTTACAAACCAAACTTTCTGGGAATAATTTTATCACATTGGGAAGGGAGACATGTCTTATGTTTTACTGATTAAACTGTATATGTGTGTGTATATATGTATGTATAAACAGAATTTTGCTGGTTAGTGTTCTGATATTTTAAAATATTTTAAACCACCATTTAAAGATGATCAGCTTCATAAGTAGCCTCCATAACCAATGCAATTGAACAAGCGTCGTTAAAGAATCATCCGCGATGTTCTTACCAATCTATTACAATTCTTCCTTGGCTTGTTTATGTAAATTTATTTTATAACGCGAATTAATCAATTTGTCATATGTTATGATCAACCTTATATGTAGACCTATAAGGAAGCCAGCCTAGATTTTCCGAAGTCTAGACGCAAAATCGTGACTTACCTGCATCTTGTGTTCGGGACCAGCACTATTCTCTGTCCCACAATGTTTGATGCATGAAGCAAACTGCTTGAAGGGAGTTTGTGGGACGATTATAACAGAAGCATATTCTATGCCTCTCACAATAACAACTGCACAGGCGCCTTTCAGCTTAACAACTTTTTGTTGCACAAAGACGAAAAAATAAACAAACACGTACTTATCTGTTGTTAAAGAAATTTGCTATGAGTATTAATAGTCTGTACATTTAGAAATAAATATTTTAAAATATTCTCTCAAATATAGGGATTCACGCCAATATTTGGAACGCATCGGTTTCATTTATTTGAGCGATGTTTTAACTCCTGTCAGTTTCACAAACATGTTATTCCAGCCTGAAAGTGCATATCGAAAAGGATATCTCGAAATTAGTGACTGACTATGAGTTAATTGCTATAAGCTCGTCGCCAGATATTTTTTTTATTGCTGTCGAATTAAGTTCGTGTAAACCCGGGCAAATAGCATTGCGCAAGGAGACTCTTCCGAGATGTTACACAGTGTAATCTGGCAGATATTAACCGACGTTTCTGTGGAGCTTACTGCCTATAAAATCAGGATAAAGAGTCACCCTGATAATGGAGGCAGAAAACGTCGGTCTACCAGACTACAGTGTGAAGGATTCCAGAAAAAAGCCATAGACGCCGTTATCGTCATGGGGACCTGAAATCTCAGCACGTGGACTCATGTTTCCATATAACATAATATTTAGCAACGCGTTTGTTACTGGCCAGGGGGAGGAAAGCAGGGGTGAATGTTTACTCCATTTTTCAAACATCGTGAGATTAAGAGTTACTACGAGCATGCCAGGTGTCTACCTTGGGCGTACCCCTGCAGCATTTCCACCTCCTTCTCGTAGTCCGGAAGACAGAAAAGCTGGCCCTGCTTGATGACGAACTCGCTGCCTTTCGTAAGTCGAACTCCGCACACCACACACACGAAGCACGTGACATGGAACACACTGTCCAGAGCTCGCATCACATACTCAGTGGGACCAATACGCTCCGAACATCCCAGGCACTTTTTCACGTACATTCTGGAAAACCAAAAAGCTGGTGACACACTGTGAATATAGTAATAAGGAAATTATTTTTGTATCAAACTTATATTTATTAATTCTTATGTTTCGTTGAGTGAGGATGTCAGGGGGATATACTGTGTAGTATTTTCATCATTCAGAACAAAACAGCAAAGTGGTTTCTGGGTTCTTCTTGACGAATATATATTATACAGTGCGTGTTCCACAATAGAAAACCAATATATGAAATAAAATAAAATTTGAGACTTCAGGTTGCTCGCTGTCTGTACTGCTTGAAATTAACCTGCTGTAAAGATGGCTATCTTCTGGGTTATTTTGCCGTGTAGGTCCTTGCTGCTTCCATAATCAGGGCGATCGCCCTGGTGATGAAGCCAACAAGGACCTGTAAAACATCGGTAAATTTCTACCAGACGACACGGCATAACAACCCAGAAGACAGCCATCTTCAAACTTACCGCCGTGAACACCTCAAATCCTACGTAACCTGGTGTAATTTATATTCGTTCTTTACCGGCTGTTGTGAACACTGGTATGAATAATCGGACTGCAAACAGACGGGGAATCCATTCACACAAAGTACATGAAAAGATTCATAATGATGAATTTTGGCCATCCATTAGTTTAGAAACCCAGTTGTAAGTTTTGATTATGTTTAACGGACAAGACTGAATAGATATTTCCTCTCTCTTCTTGTGTTTCACCTGAAAACGGAGGCAGACACAGAATTCGAGAAGCTGTAGACCTAATATCTGACTCAGTCAATTAATAATGTCCGTGAAGTACTCTTATGTTATAGTATTAACCTAATATGGATTAAAAATATCGCGTGGATGCAATCGCTAACTGGAATTTTATTTGAGTTTCTCACGGTGGTAAAGATGTCGATGTTAGTACAGAGCCACGTGGACTTGTAGGCATATACCAACGTCTCGGAGGCTTAAATACGGAGGTAATATGTCCCTCTGAAACGTTAATGTCTACTTACAAATCCATTCGACACTACAACGTTAGCTGCAGAGACGTAGGATTTACATTTGTTTGACATGTTGCTCGCTTCTGCTACGTAGTATCGATCAATCAAAGGAGTGGAAGACGTGTTGGCGGGTGTTGAATATATAGGGATAACATTTTCCCCTTTCACCCTGCTGATATCGAGGTAGCGTAGCTATGGCGATTTCTGTAAACGGTTGGCCGATGTAGTAACTACTAACTGGTTCCTTCCTTGACGTAACATATATGCGTGCGATCAATACTACTGTTTGAGGAACGCAGTTTGAGGCTTGCTTCTGCGACTTGTACTCATTTGGGAATAACAATAGAAGTTTTAATAATAACAATAGACGTTGTAAACATGTGCGTTTTGAAATCTCGCCCGTTATTAAATTTTCACTTTGCAACAGTTTAATTGTAAGAATGTCATCATTTCTTGAGCATGTGATCTAATATCGATTTAATATTATCTCGTAATTCAAAGTTGCAAGGTAAAAAAATTAATGTTATTTCCCAAAATGCGCTAAACCTAAAAATTAAATCTGTAACCATTCAATGAGTTCTGAGGTTTTAAGGGCGGTGAGAGTTCATATTCTGTTCTTTTGTGCAGTGTTATCGCGAAGTCACATTTCGAAGGAACATACTGCCTTTATAATCAGACTCTAACCTGTCTATGGGTCTCATAACCCAATAGACCTTAGTCTGAACAGTCACTAGACACACAAATGTAACGTCAAAGAACTGATTCAACGAAGATGACTGTCTTCTGGGTTGTTGCACTGTGTAATTTGGTATTAATAATTTGTAATACATTAAATACGTAAGTACCATAAAGTAAAGTATATATACCTTATTATTAATAGTCCAAGGTGTTCCAACCCTAGATTGTCATCTACAGTGGCATTTCTTAATTGAATTTAAGCCGTGCAAATTTCATGATAACGTTCCTTACTTTTCTCATTAACGATGTAATCTGTGTAGTGTAGTCATTTGTGTTTATTCAACAACTTAGCCTGTACATCTTTCTGTGCAACGTAATAAAAGAACGTCCACAAATATCAGTAACACTAATAAGTTAGTCATTCACAGTGAAAATGCGTTATATCAATTCAGATTAGTAGCCGATATAACTGTAATTAATTTAGATTGTAAAATAAATGCAATGTGTGATAGGACAGAATGATGAAACGAAGATATATTCTACAGACCAGTGGCCCATTATAATACAGTCCTCTTTATTAATATTTTCGAAAAACAAAGTGGTGTTTAAAGGCCACTGCATAGCATTTAACCTACATATACCTGAAGACGGAAGATAATTTAGTGTTAAAATTTTTCTATAAAGCAGTCGTTACAGTATGTAATTTCTTTATCCATCCATTATCAATATGAAATGTTTCTACTCTGTTATCTAATGCTCTTTATTAAAATGGTGGATGTGAGAATGCAAGGATAAGCAGCAAACAGTTGAGTGTAAAGGTACAATTTGGCTGCACGCGACAGAGACAAGCGACCGAGGCAGGCGACAGAGACGGGAGACGGACACATCGCAGCTTGTCGCCACACACTTTTGAGGTGACGACCGAGACATGCGGCAAAGTGTTTGTTTTCTTTGTTTTGTTGAGACATACGTGCACATATTCTGTGAAAAATGAGTACAAAAATGCTTCTAAAAAGGTTAATCGAAGAA